TCAAACCTTTACTTTTGGCGATTATGTTAATTTCACTATCTATGCCTAATAAAGAATTGCTTGGCACATCTTGACAATTTACTTGTTCACGTTCATTATCGCATTTAGTAGTTCTGCCAGATGGTTTATTGTGTTCTTTGGAAAATCCTGACGGGAATGTTTTTGTGGGCGCAGTGAACTTAAGGATTGCCCATCCCTAAGGAACTTAATAAAATGTGTAGTTAGTATGACAGTCCCCTTTGCATTTAGATGCAGGCCACTAGAGTTCAAACATGTCTCATCTATTGACATATTACTTATAAATGTCACATCATGCTTAGATGACAAACTCTGAACTTTCTCATTAATTTCTTCTATTTTTGATATTAAATCACTATCCTGTCTCAATGTAAGTCCAGAAATTCTAATTTTAGAATTAGGGAATTTCTGTTTAGCTGTTGTAATAAGTTTTTCCATGTTACCAACACATTCGTCTATAGATTCAACAGGGACATCATTTGTCCCTGCGTGAATAACAACATGAGACGGGTCCGGTTTAATATTAATTTTGGCAAGCTCATTAGTTATTTCTATAGTTGTTTTCCCTGGATATGTGAATTTATAAACTTTCCTTTTTGAGAGTTTTACCGGACTAACATTTTTGATTATTGAATCCCCAATAAGTGCAATACCTTTCTTTGGTACTCGATCACTGTTACCACTTGTACCTTGCGTTCTGTCATCCTTGGGCTCTGTAGATTTACTTGTACTCTCAGACATATTTTGACTAAGTGTTGGTTGTTGTATATCAGAATCAATATTAATTACGGAAGCATCAAAGTCACTGTTATTGTTTAGTTCATTTGCCTCGTCCTCTAAAGACGAGAACTGGTTGTGCAGCCTTGTAACCTCGTTACCTTTTTGATTCTCGCTTCTTGTATGAACCGTACACCAGGGATTTCTTGGTTGAGTCGTTTGACTGCGAACGTTGTCCCCTACATCTTTAACAGCATTAGCACAATCCTCATTCATTAACCGAATAACCGTCACGAGACTAGCTTTTTCGCTTTCCGCAGCTACTAATTTAGAACTGGTTTCGGACAGTAGACATTCAAGTTTATGTACGTCAGATTTAAGTGCCATATTTGCTTTTTTTAATAAGTCGTTTTCTTGGGCAAGTTGATTATCTCTCACTTGGCTATTACGAATTTCATACCCATCTACAAGCTCGTTCAATACTATGGTCGTTTCGGATTTATATATTTCAAATTCGTTAGACAATGCATTCAAGCGATTCATAACATCATCCAGTGCGTTTCCCTCCACACATATCGAAATTTCTTTAAGGGTTTGCTCAGATCCATTTGTAGCGCCATTATTAGTTGAAAAGTGTGCAGAGTCATTTTGAAAAGCATCAAAATCCAACAGTTCAGCACTCGACATGTTCGTATTTACCATAAAGTTATTAATATTCGGCAGGGAAGGCATATGCGTGGGTGATACATCAGCAAAGTCGTCAACTCCCAAATTGCTTATGTTATTCGGTGAAATAGTGGCTATTCTTTGCAGAATATCGGAGTATTCATCTTTCATTGGACCATCCAACAACACACTTCGGTTTTCGTACCAGCGTACAGTGATATCTTTCGTCTTCAGCTGTTTACAACCGCCACGCGGAACCTTCCACTCGCCTTTGATGTTTAATGTGTCATTAACAAATTTCTCAAATAAATCAAAATCACCAAGCCATTTAAGTTTTCTATTTGTGAAACTTAGTGGATTTATTTTAGTTATGTCACCTTGAGACATATTGATCGGTTTTAGCTTAGTATATCTTCAAAAATATCGCAGAGCTTACAAGACACGTTTACAGAATTTTGAGAGAAGAAATAATCGATTATCAAGGGATTCAAGTAGGTTTTTAAAAATAAATACAATATTATTTCAGTCATAACTCATAGTGGGGCCCCTTGTGGCTGGATGAGAGAACCCGAGTCCCAAGCACTGTTGCTTTTCAGTGTTTCCACTTGTAGCGAATTTTTCCAAATATGTACTTTAATTTACAAACTTGAATTTTGGCGGAGATTTGACAACTTCATCCGCCAAAATTCAACTTGCGAATACGAACTATAATGTTGGGAATACGAACTATAATGTTGGAAATACGAACTATAATGTTGGGAATACGAACTATAATGTTGCGAATACGAACTATAATGTTGCGAATACAAACTATAATGTTGCGAATACAAACTATAATGTTGCGAATACGAACTATAATGTTGCGAATACGAACTATAATATTGCGAATATGAACTATAATGTTGCAAATACGATCTTTAATTTTGGCAGAAATATGACGCCATATATTCCCGCTCGTATTTATTTTATGCGAGGCGAAGAGAACCTCTGGTGGCACGCGATACAAATCTCTCTTCCATGCTGACGTTGCTGTTTGAGAACTTGCAAAACCGGTTTTATATTTTGTGACGTTTGTAAACTTCCTATCCGGGTTTGTCATACTACCAAAATAGCTCTCTTCAGACTGTTTGGCAGCTTTGTGTAAAATATTTAAAATAAGCAGGCCAAACATGTAGATTCAGGGACCGCGGAGACGGGGGGGCTGGGGGTGCTTTAGCCCCCCCACTTTTTTTGACAGCCAAAATTATTAAAATAGAAATCTAAATGAAACTTTCTAAATTAATTAAAACTTTCTAGGCATTTTTAACTTTCGCATCTAATTAAAATGAATAAAGGCTAAGCACCCCATTATGTGTACCTTACATGAAGTTCCCTTCAACACAGCCACGTGCTCCGAAACGAAATTATTATTTATATTCATATGGTTTTTGCAAAGTTTCCGCAATGGAGTTGAAACTGCCTTTATTTTTACTTTTTCTTGTGGGAATATCTAATGCAAACTTAGTGATTTCTAGTGTGACATCCAGTTTTGAAACATCAGAAAGTGCGTGCTTCATGAGTTCAGTTGAAAGTGATTGTTTATTTGTTTACCGCCGTATTAAATATTTAAAACGAAGAATTAAATATAGCTGTGGACATCCTGGATCATTCAACCCCGCTGTCATAACGAACAAAGAAGCTCATATGGTCTATGGCAACATGAATAATGCAGCTGGAACTTCGCAAACGTCTAGCTTCGGAAAAAAGAAAACGACGAAAATTTCAGACTATTTTTTCAAGAATGAACAAGCATCTGTTTCGGAAACAGGTGAGTTTATGATATATTTGTGGTTTGCTCACTCTCGCTTCATAAACGTCGTTTACGAGCGTGTTTTAATTTTAGTTGTTTGTCAGTGTTCTGAGTAATGAGCTGCTTGCCTTATACGATAGTTGTCCGATTAA